ATTTTAAGAATAATTTAAGAATAGATCCGAGGCTGGTTTTTGACTTAATAGGTTATACGTTTCGATCGTTTGGGTCTACGAGCAGTCCCTCTTTCGCTTAGTCCGTCGTGCGTGACGCGATAGAATACCGCGAGAAAACAATGTCCGCGCGAAATCCTGGGGGCGAGGAGCGCACGACGGGCTAAGCGAAAGAGGGACTTCTCGTATTCTAGTCTTTTGTTCCTAAAATTCGATGTGATTTCGTAGGTTTTATTAACTTTATAGCATTATTTGGTTGTTGTGTTTGTCATAGCCTTGCCGTCCTTCTATTTCTTCTTCTCCTCCTCTATTTCAACATTCGATTCTCACTCCCTCTTTTGCCATTTTCTCCCAGCAAGGAGTTGATGAATGAGCCTGTCTCGTTGTCCTGTGGACATAGTGCATGCAAGGCCTGTTTACTGGAGAGTATCGCAAATCAAAGAAAAACCTGTCCCCTYTGCCGTGTGATTCTTGACGCCTCCAATTTAAATCCGAATATCGCTGTAAAAGCGATGATATCCAAAATTAATGTGCGCTGCACAAATGGCGGCTGCTCATGGACTGGGCAGCATAGCGATAAAGAAAGGCACTGTGACACCTGCCCGTTTATGTTAGTGGAGTGCCCAAATGGTTGTATCGGGAACCGACAGCGCTCTGCATTGGACGAGCACCTGGCGGCATGCCCTTATGAAAAGGTTTCATGCATGTTCTGTAGTGTGGGAGTACCGAGATTTCATCTCGACGTTCACGTGGAAAACTGTGCGCAAGGCCCTCTGCTATGTCCGCTTCAGTGCGGAGAGAGATTACCGAGGTAAGTTTAACTGTACACTGGAGGCAAGGTCATTCTCATTTCTCGAAGCTAACTACGGATGTAATAAAAGTTAGAATAAAATGCTCAGTAAACAATCTCTTTCAGACCAGACTGCGAATTAGTTCAAATATTTGACAAAAGTATCACGATAGCCGCTACTGGTGTTTTTAC